TGACTTGACCTTTCATAGAAGTAGAACATTCATAGAAATCCTTTTTGCCTGAGTTCTTGTGTCTAGCATAAAAGAGGAAAGAGTCGTTTAGAATATGCCAACGGATATAACTTTGAATAATCTTCTTCAACAAGTTTCTATTTCACATCAATCAACATTAGAGCCTTGAGTGATCAGAGTCTTGATGTCATCAGAGTTTGCTGTATTAGAGTGTTGCAGCAAGTGTGCTTCAGCGTGAATAACATTCAGAGCAGAGTTTGGAAATCAGATCCTCAGTACTTGCAGCGAACAGTACTTATCAGAGTCTTCTGAAAAACAGTGCTTGAAACTCTTCATACAAAGTCTTCAGCTATGCTTCAGATGCTTCTATAGCTTCTGCTTCAGAGTCTTCTGTAGGCAGTGCTCAGAGTCTTCTAACGAGATGCTTCTGACGCTCAGAGCCTAGCGAAGTTCAATGTTCAGATTCATTTTTGATTTCAGAAGAATATTAAATTTAATATCTGCAACAAAAATACTTGAACAAAAATAGAGTATATAATTTCTTAATACAAAATTTCATTAGTGTTATCATCAAAACATAGAGATATAACTAAGAACTAATATGTGTTCTAACACCATGTATGCAATATGACTCACAACACGACTCTATGCATGTGGTACCAACATGGACATCAGAGATTTATTACTATTCTCATCCACTCAATAATGATTCCTCATTCGAACCCGATATCCACTTCTGAACCTCAGATGATCACTAGTTCTCACTTCTAAACCCGTGATTCGCCTCTTTCACACACTGACACAAAACGATGCATGACATACAAAGTAATGCAACAACAACACTTATGGTTTAACTTCTAACCATAAAAAACATGCAATACAACATTCACAGTAGTCCCCGCTTTAGAACTACCCACCTTGACACAAACAATTATAATTATATTCATAATATATAATCATATTCGCAACATCACATCTCATGAACATAATCATGATTCACCACTCATAAACATGCAATTAACTCAATTATTAATTATTCCTTTATAATATTTCATCCACCATTAATCTTAAAAAAATCACCTCAAACAACACTAAACATCATATGCATGCAAAAACGACATCAAAATTTGAATCGATCGCTCAAAATAAGTCCCTGGCAGTCATGACGGCTAGTTCGTCAACTAGGTGACAACCGTCACCTAATCTGTCATCCGTCTTCTTCATCATCCATCACTCCTATGATGATCGACGGGAGAAATATCGCCTGAAGACCATGCGGCCTCCCTATTACCCTGATGGTGATCGTTAGTCCACCTAGATGCGTGATGGGCAGCCCGTCACACCGATGACGACCGTCACCCTGGTGCAGAACCATAATATGCATTTTGGCCATGGGAGTTGATCTTACTGAGATCAAAGATACGATCAACGACCAACAACACATCATGAGCTCCAAATTCGCCGATGACGAGGAAAAGGAATTGGTGTATCTGCAAGGCACTTCGATGCCAAAGTTAGGTTCAGAGTGAGAGAGAAAGCAAGTACAGAAAGTAATGTGAATTTAGAATATCTGACCCTTATACGAAGAAGGGTATTTATAAGGTGCCTACAACACTGGGCCAACGATCATCTATTGTAGGCAGGATCATAAGGCCCACAATGGATGACTGCCAAGATCCTACTTGGAAGTAGGGAAGACCAGCACGTGGTCTTCGTCTTGGGTCAACTGTCCCACAAACTCCGGGGAGTGGATGGCTTGTTCTCAAGGTTATGGGTTCAGTTGATGATGTGTTCCTGTGTGAGGAACAAATGGAGAATGTGACCTCCAACGACTATTGAGGATTAGGCTTGTGTTGGGCCCTCATCAACACGGAGCTGAACTGGGCTGTGTCTGACGGTGGGCCAGCCCCAGAGCCAATCCAGAATAGGAGTTTATCCGAAGCTTTGATTTTGACCCCTAGCATCCCAAATCGCACAAAAAATAATAGATACATATTACACAACAATCAAACCATCACATATGCATCAATTATCATCCAATTTCATCAATCAATCACAAATTCAAGGTTATGCTCATAACACCAAATATACAACAATTGCATTCATAATATTCAGGTGCATATCCATCCATTATGCACAAATTCTAGCAATATACAAAACACAAAATTTTACATTAACCATGATAACTAACATGGATTATTACACATTTATCATCAAAACTCATAAAGCACAACAAATGAGAAAACCTATAGGAGGGTGAAAATCTCTCTATACCCTTCATGCAATACACATATATTCAAGTAGTCCCCCTTTCACTTGAATTTCCAGCAACAAAACATTCAAATACTTGCCTATGATGTTCTTCCCCTTCAAGAGTTTCCTAAGTTTCCCTCTTTTTCATTTTTCACAATTTCCAAATTCTGATAAGTTTGACTCCCCTCACTCCACTATTTATTTTAACCTAAAATTATATTTAAGTTAATTATTGCACTTTCACCCCTAAACTCTAGTGCACTCTCTCCTTACCACACATACTTCACCAATATTATATTTTCTACCCTCAATCCCACCATTATACTATTTGTTTTATTTTCTTATTATCCAATTATTTTAATGAATTAAAACTCTTCTAAATTCCAACAAACCTTAACAAATGCCAAATAATCACATAACACGTGCTATCACTCAAATAATTAGTTAAAAAACATTTTAAATTACTTAGACAATTAAATAAAAGCAACAAAATTCAATTAAATAAATTAATTGAATTCAGGGTGTTACAACTCTCCCCATTTTTAGAATTTTCACCCTAAAAAATTACCTGAATGAAACAGCTTTGAATAAGATTCTCTCATCCGACTCTCCACTCCCAGGTCACGCTTTCCCCAACAGGTCCTCCCCAAATAACCTTCACCAAGACGATCTCTTTATCTCTCAAGTGTTTCACTTCTCGACCATCGATTCGTAATGGTGGTGCCTCCACAGTCAAATTATATCTCATTTGCACATCATTCATTTGAATTACACGAGACAAACCTGGAACGTACTTCTGAAGTTGAGACACATGATATACAATGTGAAGATTTGAAAGAGATGGCTATAAAGCAACTTTGTAGGCCACTTTTCCTACTCTCTTCAAAATCTGATAAGGACGAATAAAACACGACGCGAGCTTTCGAGATTTCAAAGCACGACCAACACCAGTCACCGAAGTAACTCGGGAGAACACATGATCTCCTTCTTGGAATTCCAGTGCTTTCCTTCTCTTATCATGGTAACTCTTCTGTCTAATATGTAAAGTTTTTATCCTATATTGAATCATCTTAATCTTTTTAGTAGTTTGCTGAGCAATTTCTGGTCTGAGTACAACACTTTCGCCAGAATTATACAAACACAAAAGTGTCATACACATTCACATTCTACCATACACCGTTTCAAAAAGGGTAATTCCAATGCTAGAATGAAAATTGTTGTTGTATGTAAACATGACCAAAGGCAATAACTATCCCAGTTACTTATTTTCTCCAAAACACAAGCTCTCAACAAATCTTTCAACGATTGAATGATCCTATCCGTCTGCCGATGATAGGTAGAACTCAAACACAACTTGATTCCCAAAGCATCACACAAACTCTCCCAGAACCTCAGATATCTATCTTAAACAATACTCAAAGAAATACTATGCAAACTGACAATCTTATTAATATTCACCTCATCCAGTTTTTGCAGTGGATAACTGATATTTATCAGAATGAAATGAGCTGATTTAGTCAGTCTATCCACAACAACCCAAATCGTATCACTTCCTTTAGATGTTTTTGGCAAACTCGTCACAAAATCCATATAAATGTTATCCCATTCCCACTCACGAATACTCAATAGTTGCATCAATCCAAACAACTTCTTTATGATAAGCATGCGTGTTCCTATCCCATATGCGAACCAAATCATTTTTGATCTTTGAAACCAAATTAATTTATCTTTCTAAAAACTATTCTCTAACGCTTTATGAATGTCTCTTTGGATCTTATCGTGTCCCTTGTGCCTCTCCCTTTTGCATTCTTGACCATGTTCCGAGAAATGAAAGCTATTCTAATGCTTTTCAAAATCATTATTATCGTTCCAGACTTAAAAGAGAGAAAAAAATTTCTTAGAGATGACATTATCACAATACCCTCTTAAAATTAACTAAGTTTCTTTTTATAAAAAAAACTTATAAATAAATATTTCTCTACTAATTAAATTTTATGATACCTTTTTTAATTGGTTAATGATTTTTTAAGAGAATTTTTTTTTAAAAAGAAGATTTTTCTTAGAGATGACAATATCACACTAACCTCCTAAAATTAACTAAAGTTTACATTTATAAATAAAAATACAGATAACTATCTCTTCTACTAATCAAACTTTATAATACTTTCTTTAATTAATTAAATTTTTCATTCGTTAACAATAATCTAGTATTGACTATTTCATAAAAAAATTGCTAGAATAATATTTATATTATTAATAATATTTTCTTGAATAACAATTATTTTTTTAGTATACAATTGGTTAATTAGTTTATAAATTTTTATACAGTAACGTTTTTGACAGAGTTTTGATTTGTAATAATGAGAAAGCATATAGAAATTGATTTGCAATAATGAGAATTCCCAATATCATACGAAATAAACGAAAAAATAAACAGTGTTTCATTTCAACTTTCAAAGAAAAAGTTTCCGTCTGAAAAAAAAACCCAAAAAAACCGGTAGGTAGGTTGACGAAGAAAGCGTGAGGCAAAGTTTGGAAGGTAAGCGCGTGACAACGATCATCGATTCATTTCTCATCTTCATCGTTCTCGTTTTATTTATCTTTATTTATTTATTCCAGTTTTGTCCTTTTCTTTTTCATTATTTCTCAGTTATGCCCTCATATTCTGCGATGGCGTACTTGAAGTTGAAGTCGTAGCTCTTTTTTTTCAATTCCGATTTTCAATTTCCCAAACCTTTTAGGGTTTAATGGAACCTCGAATTGGGAATAAGTTCCGTCTTGGTCGGAAAATTGGGAGTGGATCTTTTGGAGAGATCTATCTAGGTGCGTTTTGATTATAATCGTTTGTTGATTTTTGCGTTTTTTTACGAATTTGTGATTCCTACGTTTGTTCAATTTGTTGTTTTGATGCAGGAACTAATATTCAGACGAATGAAGAGGTTGCGGTTAAACTTGTGAGTACTTACAAACCCTAATTTTGATGATAAAACAAAAAAAACATGTTTACTTTGTTTTGATTTTTCGTGATTGCTAATTTCGGTTACTTTTTAACAATTTTGATGAAATTAGTGATGTTGAATTGAAGGCAATATGGGATATTGAAGTTTTTTTGGAGTGCTTTAAATTAGTTTTCAACAGAGCTTGCTTTTTTTTTTTTTTTTTTTGTGTGTGTGTGTATAGCTACGCCGGAAAATTGAATTTATTAATTTGTTTTTGTTTTGTTTGATTCAGGAAAATGCCAAAACCAAGCACCCTCAATTGTTGTATGAATCAAAGCTGTATAAATTACTGCAAGGAGGAAGTAAACTCCCATCTCAATGAATTTGTGTCTTTTGGAACTCTTTTTTATTATTATCTTCGTGTTACTCACTTGGCTTAAATGTTTTTGGTTGGCTATCTTTAATTTGGAAGCTGGGATACCAAATGCGAAATGGTCCGGTGTCGAAGGAGAGTATAATGTCCTTGTGATGGATTTACTTGGTCCTAGTCTTGAGGATTTATTCAATTTTTGTAATAGGAAATTGTCCCTCAAAACTGTTCTCATGCTTGCTGATCAAATGGTAGGTTTTCATGTATTGCATAAGCTTGTAATTGAAAATTTCCTGTTTTCTTTTAATGTCTCAATCTGGACCATTTTCTAGATAAATCGAGTCGAATTTATTCATACCAAGTCATTTTTACACCGGGACATCAAGCCAGACAATTTCCTTATGGGTTTAGGGAGGCGTGCAAATCAAGTAATTGTTTAATTCTTGTTTTTTCAGCTCTTTTATCAAATTTTATGATCATCTCCAATGCTTATATGTATTCATTTCATATTTTCCTCTTTTTTAGGTCTACGTCATTGACTTTGGTCTTGCTAAGAAATTCAGAGACAGTAATAATCAGCATATTCCCTACAGGTACTTTTATGGCATCTTTATTTTCTGATTATATTCAGCATGCTTGCACTGTTCAACTTCAAACCATAAAATGTATAACTGAATGTTATGCTATTCTTGATTGTTTATGTGAATAACGGCGTACTACTATTTAGTAGGAGGGGAGAGTTTTCTTGTAATAGAAATAGGAGCTTCAAAATTAACTTCGTTGAAAGATGCGTAACTAATTTAGCTTTGCGCTGGAAATTTTCATGGTTTTGCATTCCCAACATTCTACTTTCTTCACTATGACTTGTTTATATTTCTATAATCATTGCATGACTAGTCACACCAGTTCTTTAAGTAATTTGTCCTTGATGATTGTTTTGTTAGCCTTTGTTTGAACCAAGATCCATTGCTGCCATATATACATACACGCATAATAACTTTGTTCTATGTGTGAAACTAACCAATTCAATCCTTGAATCTTATAATAATATTATTGTGGTAGTCATGTATAGTTTCTTTTAGGTAATTTGGACATCCATATCATTGGTTTGCAATCTAATAATAATAGATGTTTACTCACATTTTAAATGTTAAAATCAAGCAGTGCAATTAAGTATCAATTAGTTTTTGTGTTCTGTGAAATTTTGTAGATTTCATTTACTTTATGAGAGCTTTTAACTCAGTGATTATATCAATAAAACTCATGAATAAAGAAGTTATTAAAAGCTGAATGTATGCCAACAATTAAGATTATTTAAAGATCAAGTAGCACTTAACTTATGTTGCTCTAAGGGTGCAAGGAAATATACGTGTGTTTTCCGTGAATTTGACTTTCTTGTAATCCTTGCAGAGAGAATAAGAATTTGACGGGAACTGCTAGGTATGCCAGTATGAATACTCATCTTGGAATTGGTATGCTCTCATAATCTCACTTGATCAATACCAATTCTCATTGACATTGATTTTGACCTGTAAACTTCAATTTTTGTGCTTTAATAGAACAAAGCCGCAGAGATGATTTAGAGTCACTTGGATATGTTCTTATGTATTTTTTAAGAGGAAGGTATTTAGTCTCCCACCTTTATTATTTGACCCTTCGTGTATGTCTTTTAATTGCCTAGTATTTCTTATTTGCCATTTCTGCAGTCTGCCTTGGCAGGGATTGAAAGCCGGTACTAAGAAGCAGAAGTATGAGAGAATCAGTGAGAAGAAAGTTTCTACTTCTATTGAGGTATGATTGAGCGATAAAACAGTAATTTATTTCAGATAATGTATGTCCGTTATATGTATATAAACTCATAGTTGATTGTGGATTGCTTCTTCGCTAGAATCTCTGTCGTGGCTATCCCTCAGAATTTGCATCATACTTCCATTATTGTCGGTCACTGAGGTTTGATGATAAACCAGATTATGCTTATCTGAAAAGACTTTTGCGTGATCTATTCATCCGTGAAGGTTTGAGCCTTGTTTTCATATTTATATTTTATTTTTGAAATGCACTATAGTCATTGAAAACAATGTTTTAAGGTCTAGACAGGATATGCTTTAATGTCATTTTTTGGTTGTTTTTCTCGCCTTGTTGCTCCAGGATTCCAGTTTGATTATGTCTTTGATTGGACCATTTTGAAATATCAGCAATCTCAAATTTCCACTCCTCCTTCCCGTGGTATTGTAAGTGATGAGCTATGTCATTAATAGCTGTTTATTTGTTAAGATTAGGTCACTTAATTTTAAGTGGAAGTGACAATCCGACATTTGCAGGGTCTTGCCGCCGGACCGAGTTCTGGCCTGCCACTAGCTTCTGCAAATACTGATGGACAGTCAGGTATCCTTGTTCATTTAGCTTAACATCCCTGATATACGACGTGTCTATTTTGATTGAGATGGTTACAGACTGATTGTTAGAGTGTAGTTTATCATTCAATAACTTGTTAATTATTCTGATACCCTCCACATATATTGCCATTTGGCTCCTCCTGCAATGCTTTTTGATTTGTTACCAGTCCATTTTTTAATTTTTTAGTGTGATGAATTCTGTGCAGGTGGAAAAGATGGTAGACATATTGGATGGTCTTCAACTGATCCCACTCGTAGGAGAAACACTGGACCCATTGCCATTGATGGAATCGTATCTAGAGAAAAAGCCCCAGTTACAAATGACTTAACTGGATCTAAAGATGCTATGGTGCGTGTTTTTATATCTGGGCTGTCTTTTCCATGTGAAATCATTATATTAATTGCAGTAGTCAGATGATGGTTGCTTTATGCGTAATTTCTAGAATTCTTAAATAAGCATTATTATTCCTGTCAAACATTTCTGATTAAGGAAATGAATATTGGATTGTTTTACAAAAAGAAAGCATATGAATACTGTTTACCCCAATGTAGTAAGACATGAGATCCTAAGTCGGATCGGAAGGCCAGTGAAAGATCGTAAAACGAGGAGTGTAACATAACTAGTAAGATCCTATCGAATAGCAAAATTGTAATTTTACACACACACACAAGCATAAAGATTATATACATGAAAGAAATAATGTATAAATCACGAGTTAATTAAAAATTCATAACCATCATTGCATATGTTCATAACAACTCGAGACATAATCAATAGAAACTAGTCTGGGCCCGTGAAAGAATTACAGGGAAAGCTATCTCAGGGAGGAAGCGAGAATGGTGGATGAGTGAGGAGAAACTTTCATTGCAAGCAGGGGTGAGAACAGTGTGGATTAGTGTTTCTGTTTGCAGAGCAAAATCGAACACGTGAGAGATTTGTTGGTTTTATAAAGATGTTATTTCCTCACAAAACCCAACCCAGTTCAGCAAGGCCCAATGTAAAATGGGTGGTTCAGCACGGAATCATTAACGATCCTGCCTCAAACTCACGATCTTGACCATGAAACAGGGTGGCAGCAATCTTGCTTGAATCACAGCATGATTCCGTGGCTGTTGATCGCACAATCCTACAATTTGATACTCATCTTGACTATTTTGGTTTACCCTTTAATCAAGTAAAAATTGAAGTTTTGTTTTGTTGCGTCTTGTTTCTTTTGGAATTGAAGTTTTGTTTTGTTTTGTTGCATCTTGTTTCTTTTGGAATTGAAGTTTTGTTTTGTTGCATCTTGTTTCTTTTGGTCATGACTGGATTTCAAAATATTGGTTGTATCAATTGTGTTTATATACACAGCTGAGGCATAAGATAAGCAGCAATTGTAAATATTTTTCAAAACTTCGCATTTTGTTAACATGTTATGTACCGTTTCTGGGCCTCACTTCCTAGCCTTGGACTCATACTATGAGTTTAATGGTGTGAATATTGTTGTACAGTGCACATTATTATCAGCAAAAAGAAGATTATAAATCCATGTGTAATATAGTTATCATATATGCAGTTGTGTATATAACCACAATTGTAATATAGTTATCCCACTGGTTAAGTTTATATGAGGTTATCTGTTTATATGGCAATTAGATTTCACATTACTCATTAACGTTTGTGTTTCTGCATGGTTTATGCAGTTGCCAAGTTCGAATTTCTTTCGGACAAGTGGATCTGCAAGGCAAAATGCCAACTTAAGCAGCAGCCGCGATGCAGTTATTGACAGTGAGACTGAGCCCTCCTCCCGTCCTCTCACACAGGACCCAAGTCAAGGAGCAACCCGTAAAAGCTCTGGTGCTCAAAGAAGTTCACATATCATGTCATCTGAGCACAACCGAGTATCATCTGGAAGAAACACATCAAACATAAAGAATATGGATTCAACTGTTCGAGGTATTGAGAGTCTGCATTTAAATGACTGAGAGGGCACAGTATTAGCAGCTGCTACTTTCGGATCACCTTTCTTCCTTGTAAATTCTGAAAGGTTTTATACTCATTTTCACAATCTGGGGAGTGGAGTGTTGTCTGTGCATTTTGCTGAGAAAAAGCTGCCAACAAATTGGGAGTCTTCCTATAAGCATACAATAAAGATACCTCATTTTGGTGGTTTCCCAACAAAACTAGCCTCGTACAAGGCTTCTGTTCATACAGTGTGTTACACAGACTAATAGTTTTGGCCAACCTTTACTGTCATTTGTTTTCTTTGATATTTTTTAGCCTTGGGGTATAAATATAAAGAATATCATTGTGAAATACAAAATAGGGGGTATTGTGATGGAAATCGGTACCAAAGTACAAATTAATAGTATTTACGAGAGAATGTGCTTACAACGAACACATAATTACAACATACGCCCAAACGTTCAAGCTTTTATATAGCTCCACGAGAACACCGACTGTGTTTTTGCAAGCTAGTTTTCAAACCTAATAAAGTTGTTTGGAAACTACTTCATCCATTTCAAAACGAGAGTCTATTTTAGTGCTAAAAATTTATTTAATTTTATTAATGTTGTATTAGTTATTTAGTTTAAATTGTCATAAAATTATTGTGGATTTCCTCTTATATTATTATATTATTTTTATTTTCTTGGAAATTGACCGTATCACCTGTGTTTATAACATGGCATGGCAGGACATGTTTAAAAATTTAAAATAGAAATATAGTTTTAAAAGTTTGTTTTCCACCTGTGTTTATAACATGGCATGGCAGGACATGTTTAAAAATTTAAAATAGAAATATAGTTTTAAAAGTTTGTTTTCTTCACCATCAGTGTCCGGCCTATTAGATCGATTAATTTGGTTCCTATTAGACCGATTAATTTGGTTTGGGTTCTGGGAGATTGAAGTCAGTGTCAATTCTACTTATTGATATATAATTTTTGATCTGTCCTGATCAGGAGGGATCACGGACTGGCCACACTTCGCTGGACGGTTATCTGTTCGCCGGGGTAAGAACGAGGAAGGGGGTGTACCTGCAAAGCACTCCGACGCCCAAGTAAGAAGTTGGACAGAGAGGAAGCAATAGTACAGAAAAAGGGGCAAGAAGAGTTACCTGACCCTCTTGAAGAAGAGGGTATTTATAGAGAGACCCCAGCGCTGGGCCAACGGTCATTCGAGGTGGGCTGGATGACCAGGCCCAACCCTAATGACTGCTAGGGCTTACGTGGCGTAGTGAAGACCAGGACGTGGTCTTCGCCCTAGTTCAACTGCCCCTAGATCCTCGGAAAGTGGGTTTGACCTGCTCTTTCGGAGGTGGGCAGCTGGTCGGTGACGTGTCCCCGCGGAGGGGTGCACGTGGAGAACGTGCGCCGAGCACGTTATTCTCCCGCGGAGGGAAGCTCGGGTAGTCTTGCTCGCCTGACGGAAGCCGACAAAAAGGGACGCGGAGCGGTAGCTTGTGCCCGGCGGCCAGCCTTGCTCGTTCGAAGGGGCGCGTGCCAGGCGTGCCCAGTTCGCTTGTTGGGCCGCATTTGGTATTGGGCCTGCCGAGGTGAGGCCCACACCGGAACAGGAGCCCCCCAAGTCGAAGCTCTGGGGAAGAGCGAGGACTTAAGGTCGTCATGTCTGGAGCGGGGACTCGCACGAAGGGCTCCGGTCGTCGGTAGAACGGGGAGGAGGCAGATGAAGGGACGCGACTGTCAGGTTGCCTCCACGTGTCTTGTGTTAAGCGGTCGTAGGGGCGGCTAACCTATGTCATTAATGAGCCTAGAGTCGCTTCGAGTCCCGCGCCGGGTTATAAATATGGCGGTCCCCGCTCATTCTGTTACTTTTCTCCCTGCTAATCTTTCATCGTCTCTGCTCGTCCGCCGCTTGCCGCCGATCAACGCCGTGCCGTTTGCTTTTTTCTTCCGTCCGCCGCCGTTACAAGTGAGTTCCTCTTTTCCCTCTCTTTTTATTTCCGTCGTCTAACTGGAACGTGTGGTCGGGGCGCGATGAACGCCCCGAGGAGGGATGCGAGTTCCGCCGCGTCTGGCGAGTTTTCCGATGAATGTCCCGGGGACGGTAGGCTAGTTCCGATGAATGCCCCGAGGACAGGAGCTTTTTCTGATGAATGCCCCGAGGACGGGGGCTTTTCTCCGATGAATGCCCCGAGGACGGGGGCTTTTCTCCGATGAATGCCCCGAGGACGGGGGCTTTTCTCCGATGAATGCTCCGTGGAGAAGTACCTTCTCCGCCGGCCGTCCCGAAGGGGGCGAGGGGTCGTTCTTCGACCCCCGAGGAGGGCAGACGGGGAGTGAATGTCTGCTCGTCGCTCCTCGGCCTTTGTCGCCCTTTCACTTGACTTGCGGTGGAAGGGTGGATTTGATCCTGGCTATCGAATTCACCGATGTCCTCTGCTTTCAGGTGTAGATGTCGGCTCTGGTGCCGGGGATAATGGTTGAAGATACTGAACCCGAGGTCCCGGAGTATGACGACGAGCGTATCGCCCCGCCCGAGGAGTGGGCGGCCGAGGAGCCACTTTCCATCCCCTCTTGTTTTGTGGTCGACCCGTCCGACGTGTATGCCACGGTCGAGGACACGCCGCTAGGAGAAACGCAACACTGGCAGGTGTATCGCCCGAAAGAGCACCACCGGATCTGTTCGCGCTATGGGCGGAAGATGTTCCCGATGTACGAATTTTATTTTAAAGAAGCTCGGCTCCGGTTACCGTTTTCCGCCTTCCATCTGGGGCTTTTTGACTGGCTGCGTCTTGCCCCGTCTCAGCTGCACCCAAACGCTTTGGCTTTCATCCGGGCTTTCGAGGTGGTGTGTTTCTACCTCTTGGTGGAGCCGACGGTGCCGTTATTCTTCCGCATCTTTCATTTGCAGCGGCAGACGGTGCGAGGTCGTCACGGATGGGTCTCTTTCAAACAATCGACCAAAATTTTCAAAGCGTATAGCGATTCTGTCAAAGACTTCAAGGGTCGGTTCTACCTCGTCAAACCGATCACGCAGCACGGCTCGGACACTCTCTTTGACGAGGGCGAGCGCACGGTAGATGGCCAGCGGTTCCGCGCGTGGCTTCCTAAGATACATCTACTGTGGACCTCGGAGCATTTCAGTCGAGGGACGGATAGGTATATCGTCCGGGCGGGGACCCTCGAGGAGAAGGATATGGCCGCTTATTTGAAAATAATTGCTTTTGTGCGGTCACTCCCCCCGTCGAAGCTGGTGACGCCCGACGGTCGCTGTTCGTCCGGCCGAGGACGAGACTGATGGGGATCGGCGGCTAATCACCCGTGCCGACTTGATTGCCCGTATCCGGGTGTTGGAGAGCGATTGTCTGGAGGCCGTTGAGGTCGGGTTCAAGAATGCGGTCGAGCAGATTCAGGTCGCCAACCCTGGTGTCGAGCTGGTCGTGGACGGGATAGGGCCGTACCACGAGATTGTTGATGGGCGGGTGATCGATCCTTATCTTGTTACCCCCGAGGAGGAAACCGTGGCTGCTGACCGAGCGGACGAGGAAGCATAGGTTGCCGGGCCTGCGTGCTCGTTGTTTTTGTGGCCTGCGTGCCGGTGTTTATCTTTTGCTTCGGGCCTGCGTGCTCGTTTTTGTACTATTGACTACTGGGCTGGTGCCCGTTTTTGTTAAATATATTTATCATGGATTTTCTAAGTGTGCGCTCGTTATTTGCATGTTGTTTTATGCTCGTTTTTCGTATTTGTTCGAATGCCTTTGATGTGTATGACATTTCTTGTAGATTTTCTAAGTGTGCGCTCGGTGTGTTTAGCTCGACAATTTGTTACCGGTAGTGTAGGGAACTGGCCGGTTTGGCCGGGGATGCAGCCGGGCCGTTTCGGGGGTAGTTTTCCCCGGGGCGTGGACGGCCCATCGCGAGCTGGGTGTCCTGCCTGTTTTGGTACGGCGGCGAGGAGCCTCGGTCGAGGTATTCCCTGCCGAGCAAGGCCTTCTGCCCGCGCACACGAGAGGCAGGGCTTGCTTTTCTTTGGTCGCTGGTGGACGCGGGGGTGTGCGGTGGTACCATGTCGCCCCCCCAGTGGTCGGGACGATGGGTCGTCGCGGGCAATGTGTTAACTGTAGTACCGCTTAAGTTTCGCGGCGTTCCATGGTCGAGCTAATTGTTCACCGTGCAGGTTTTCGAGGTAATAGGCCCCATGCTCCGTTTTGTCCCGGACTCGGTACGGGCCTTCCCAGTTCGCCGCTAGTTTGCCCTCGTGGGAGTCTTTCTGGTTTCTGCGTAGAACTAAGTCGCCAGTTTGAAAATCGCGTTTTATGACTTTGTTGTTATGGCGAAGTGTGACTTGTTGCTTCAGCCGGGCTTCCCGGAGAGCTGCTCCTGCGCGGATTTCTTCGACGAGGTCGAGCTCTTCTCGGAGGGAGCCATCGTTGTCGTCGGTGTCCAGGGGAGCTTCCGTTCGTCTGGACGGTTCGCGGATTTCGACCGGTATCACGGCCTCTGTTCCGTACGTGAGGCGAAATGGGGTCTCCCCTGTGGTTGAGTGAGGGGTAGTACGGTATGCCCAGAGGACGCTGTGGAGTTCTTCGACCCATGCTCGTTTGGCGTCTCCGAGGCGTCGTCTGAGTCCTCTGAGTATAACTCTGTTCGCCGACTCCGCCTGGCCGTTCGTCTGAGGATGTTCGACCGAGGCGAAGTGATGTTTGGTCCCGAGGTTGGTGACGAAGTCGCGGAAGTTTTTGTCTGTAAATTGTGTGCCGTTATCGGTGACGATGGCGAGTGGTACCCCGAATCTGGCGAGGATGTTGCGTTTGTAGAATCGGAGTATGTTGTGGGCGGTGATTTTGGCCAGAGCTTCAGCCTCGATCCACTTGGTGAAGTAGTCGACTCCCACGATGAGGTACTTGTTCTGGTATGAACCGAGGGGGAAGGGTCCGAGGATGTCCAGCCCCCACCAGGCGAACGGCCATGGAGATGAGAGGGAGGTGAGGTCGGTTGGGGGGGCGAGGTGCATGTCTCCGTGT